ATTCGATAAAAATCGTCTGTACGCCATCCCAAATGCGATTGTCCAAATTCCCTCGTACTTTTTCATATCATGCCTTCTTTAGTCCTATTTTTTAATTTCTGTTCTCTCATCTTCCCCTTTGTCAACCCACGCGATATCGAAGCAGCCCGTGCGCCCGCACACCGCTGCGGGATCCTCGGTTCTGGGGCCCGGACACCGCTGCAGGATCCGTGGCTCTGGCGCCCGGACACTGCTAGAACATCCGCTGTGCCCGGCCACCGCTGCAAGATCCGCAGCTGTGGCGTCCGGACACCACTAAAAGATCCGCGGTGCCAACAGCCCGCCGCTGCGCCACCACAGCCATCAGCCACCGGCCGCAACTCGGTCGCGCTTTCAAATTCCAATCACAAGCCGGCTTCAGGCGTGGACGGCGACCGCAGACGAAGCCCGCCGAGCGCGACCACCGCGCTGGCCCCGCCAGCGAACGGTGTGGCAGCGCGCGCCGTGGTGGACATGGTCCGCCCGCGTCCGACAGACCGTGTGGATGGCCGTCGCAGTGACGATGTGGATAATCACTGCGCTACACTGGGATGGATGGAAGGAATTTAGGTGCGAGGAGGAGCCAGCCAGCTTTGCCTGCCAAGTGTGACGTCATTTCTAGATTCTTGAAGCTCTTTTACACTTTGTAGTCCACCAACCGCTCTGACTTAGCCCAGTCTTCCGATTCTCGGAGGGGAGAGAGGATGGATCACAGGTTTTGAAGCTCCTTGACAGTTTCAGTGTCCCCGACCTGCTGTCCCTGGTCTGCTGTGCGCGACGTCTCCGATGTTGCCGGACGACCGTGTTTGTGATCTGGATTGTGGAGTGCCACTTTTATGGTCCCCTCTTGATGTCCTCAAGGACTAATCGCTCTAAATGACTGAAGAGACCCCACGTGCCTCGAAAATTACTCTGCGTTATCTGCGTTATCTTGTCGAGAAAATGAGACATTACGTAAGAGAGCAACCATAGCGCATAGTCAAGAATATGCGTTGACTTACGCCTAGGAGCTTTATTTCCCGACGCGCCCAGCATCGCTCACAGCGTCAGTTAACACCAGCGTCAAAAAACCTGTTGAAATATTCTTTGAGAAATATACCGTGCCCGCAATCCAGCAAATATGTTACTGCTTGAGAGCCAGACCAATGAGTATGCATGCGTTTCCGCAAGAATAAGACGGATCATGCTTATGTAACAGGCTAATGAGCCATTGTTCAGAGGATCACAAGCCCGGGCCAAGAGCTTATTTGTTTGACCTGCTTACATCGCAATCCACCCACTTAGCTCGTGCTCTCGATCAATCTTCGGTCCCAAACAGGGTTTACTGAGCACGGCCACTAAATGGTAAGTTCCGGCTTCATCGTTCTCAGATGTTAACCGATAGTGTGCTTAGGGCGCAATCAGGGTTGTCACTTTCGAAAAGCGGTTGGAGGCTCACCCAAAAAGGTTGACATGACGTTCCCCTAAAGCCTGGTCTCTCGCCGGGTTTCCACCACTTGAGTTAGCGCCCTCGAGGTTGAAATTAACAAACACGTTTTAATGTTTCGTAGATTCAAGACCGTTCTCATGCAAAATAATGTCTTCCCACTTAAACTTATTGTCAGCTGCGTTTTTGTGAAAGGCTTAGGATGGGATGTACATTACAGAAAATGTCTTAATAAGTCTTAGTGAGGAATTACTGATGACTACCGCTGTCGCTGGTCGTGTTGTACAGCCACCACAGCCACGATTATGCGACAAGTACACTTACCACTGTTGGGGAAAACATGCTTTCACTTTCATCTGGGTCACCCTGTACTTTAAAAACCTGCCGCATATTGCAGTCAACTGTTCGTTACCCCAATCCAGGCTTATCATTTGATAAACCTGTCAAACATCTGCAGACTGACCTAACATTTGAAGGAGTAAGCATGACAAAAACATTATGTTCTTACAGCAAAACATTTAATACACAAGTGATATGATACTAATAGTGATGTGTTTGGGAACGCACCACCTAGTGTGCTAACAGTTAAGATCACTGTTCCGCATTTATTTGGCCCAGTATTCCATTTTTACTCATGCATTGAAGCGGGCTCAGACGGACATTGGAGGGGGGGGGGGGGCGGAAGGGAGGACCTCAGGGCCCGAAATTATAGTAAGTGATGCCCCTGGGTGCAATTCGTGAACGCGGTTAATTTGTGCTGCCAAAACGGAACCAACGAATATGCAAGGCGTGGTCATCGACGTAGTCCGTTTATTTACACTCTAAGGAGGGGTAGCCAACCGGCCTTCCGAATGTGACAGTTTATCTTTTGATTGAGCGGCTAGCGAATAAACTAGGGCCCTATTACTGGCAAAACGAGAGAAATTAGACCGCCGGGATCGAATTTCACATGAAAGCAGGTAATATTGCACCCAAAGTCAGTCCTACGGACACCCTTGAGAGGCGGACTTCTACCGCAGTTCATAGCAGACGAATATGTTTATGAATTACCACCTACGCAACACAACCTCCAGCGAAGTCATGCCTTTAGCCAAGACCCAAGCACCGCTTCAAACAAGCACTCCGGCAACACCCGGAGAGGAAGCCGCGCCTTCGCGGCAGTCACCGCTCCGACGACCCTGTTCACGACAGCCGTGCGGTCCGGACATGGTCCGGTGGTCCAGTGGGACCTCGCCCACGGTCAGCGTGTGGTCCGCGCGGCACGACCGGCTGCTAATGAGATGCCTCATCACCGCCGGGTCAGGCCGGCTGACCTCTGGCCGCTCGCTGATTGGCTGCTGACGTGGGAATGGCGGCGGCGCGGCGACGCCGTGACAGGCGGACAGGAGGTCGGCCCGGCCGGCGACGGGCGCGGCGCTGCGTGGCGGGGGGTGGCGTCTGGAGGGGGTGGTGCCAGAGGTCAGCAGGCGCCTGCGGGTGGACGACTGTCTGGGCTACTCGGGGAGAGAGCCCAAGAAGTCAGTAGGCCAACTGGAGAGGGTTGATTGTCTAGTGGGCAAATGTGCCTTGCAGGCGTCAATTTTGCTGTGCTTTGTTGTGCAAAAGTCGAAGGAACAGTAAAACGGGAATTGCACGTGATGGAAGTGTCTGAAGTAAGTGCAACTCTCCGTGGAAAGTGTAACTCTTCCAAGATGCAAACAGATAATTTGGTCACGAAACGGAAATGCTTGCACAAGATTTGCCAGATGTAAGCAATTTTCGCTGCTTAGAATAGCCTCACGTGATGTATCATCATGAAGTATCGTGTACAATTACGCGCGAGCTACCAACTCTTTGCAACGTAATGGCCATCGTTCAGCGCGAAATTGGTAATGCACCCGATTAACGAAGCCTTCTGGTAAGCCGAGGAGGCCAAACTGCCGGTCCCGCAGAAAAAGTATCAGAATTGCTGTTATTGCCTCAGTGGAAGCGGTATTTTTGAAGATTTGAGGGTAGAAGCGTTTTTGTTTTCCGTTCTTTCCACGCAGCGGTTTAAGATAGTTGCAGGCCTTCCCGACTGGGGGCGTGATAATAGTTGCCACCAGCTCACCCACATCCGTCTCTTACGCACTAAGTGCACTATGGTATCGTTCATACAATGCTGTGAACCTTCAGCGGTTGTCGCTCAGCCTATTTAATCATGCTCACCAAGGCACATACGAGCTCGCGGCTCGCTGACACATTCGGCACTCGCCAGCTGTGCACCATAAAAAGAGTGCAAGTGTTCCAGCTCACCAGCCCGGCCCTAAGTGCCCCACTCCTTTCTCTCGTGTCCTAATTCTAGGGCGATTGGCCGGTGCCCGCCCATAATTATCTTAATAAGATCGTATTTGCAATCACGCCGCCCCCACCTCTCTCAGCGCCCGAGCCCGCGACGCTCCGCATGGCAGTCGCCCACGGTCCGCGCAGAAGCCGCCCGCTACGCCGACGACATAGTCGTTAGTCTTCAGATCATTCCAGACGCCGCCAGCAAACAATGGACGAAGGAGCAATCTGCCGGTGGCGCAACGCCCCCGGCAGTGCTCCGGGCGCGTCCAAGGTCACCTGTCGCCCCGCCCCCGCTCGCGCCGGCGACTGCTCGCAGTCCGACGACAGCGCGAGACGTTGACCCTGGCGACCTCCGCCCTGTAGCGGCTGACCTCCGCCCCGACGGCACGTGACGTCATAAAGCGGGGTCACTGGTGTGCCGGTGTAGCGTCCAGTGTTCTTGATTGGTTGGTCTGCAGTGATATACGCTGCTGTAGAGGTGGTGACCTTAATGACCATGGGAGCAGCTGCGGCCCGTGACACCTCGAAGCCGCTGTAAGGTCGTGCTGTCACGGTATTGGCGACAGGAGTGAGGAACTGGAAAAGCACACTTTATGCCGGTTTCCCAGTGACGCAGAAACAATGGAGTGTCCGCCTCGTCTCTTGAGTATGTCTTCCGCCTCGTCCATATATGAATCCCGCTTGTCGGCGTGCTATTCATTTTCCATTCACGTATTTTAACACATGCATTGTTATTCAATGACTTGAATATTTAACGCGTTGAATAATGTATACGGAAACGCAAGAGTCCTGAGAATAACAAGCACATCTAAAGGCACAGACAGCCGCGCGCATGACGGGACGGTGACAAGTGATGTATAACATCGTGACACCACGCAAACGCTACGCCGCGGTGACTTCAAACGCATGCTGCATAAGCCGAGAGAGTTTTTGTTTCTCAGTGTCCCGCATTACGCACCACCAAACTGGCCTAAATACGGCAGTGTTTATACTTATCAGGCTATCGTTTGGCTGTCTAAACCGCTTACGTTGCGGTTTGACCTACCGCTGCCTCTCTGCTCTGCCCGCTCTTTCCCGTGCTCTCTCCGCGACCGCGCACTCCTCCGACCGGCCTGCGCCAGTCGCGGCCTGTTTACAATACGCCGGCTGCCATCCCTTTCCATAGCCGGCCGACAGGTGTCGGAGGCCTGGCCGTCTGACCTGGACCCCGGGTCACCGACCCCACGTGACGCGCCATGTTCTCTTCCAGCGGCGGGCATGGGCGAAGCGCCGGCCGTCGTCGAGTGAAGCCTGCCTCTGCCGGACAGCAGGCGCCCCAAGATGAGGGACGACGAGCTGGAGGTGGCTGTGAAGGTGAGCGTGCTGAGGCCGCGAGGGCTCATGCACGGCGGGCAGGTCAAAAGCGGGCGGCCCCCGCTGGCTACTCTTGCTGACATCGCTCCATTGGGACAGGGAACTGACAGTGTCAACTGAAATGACATGACAATGCTGGGTAACAATAACGATGACTACAATGGACCGTCATTTCACCAGATATGCCGCTGTGTTGTGAAGCTGAATAAATGCACTCAAGCTGTTCACTGACGTATTGTCACATCATCACGCTTAGAGTGGTTTTTGGCGCTGAGGACGTAATGTTCGGCAGTTTGCAAACGTGATTGAATATGTGGTGGGTGGCGATACAGACGGGAAAGGGAAAGCTTTTCAGTCATTTATCTGATACATTATTATAATTGCTGTTCATACTTTACAAAACCACCACCTGCTTCTCATTTTTTCTGTTGGCACTATTAGCACCACCATCATAAGCACCATAGGAACCGGTTGATCGATACTAGATGCTTTCATTCCAATCTGTAGGAAAGAAAAGTGAAGGAAGCCACATCCTTCGATGGCTCCAGCGCTATGATTAGCGGCAGCGAAGGATTTAATTGGGTTTTGCCAGCAGTGCCGCGTCAAATCCGTCATGTGCACAATTTTCCTGTCGACATGTTTCACTAAAGCTAGATCGGGAGGTCAGGGAGGGGAGGGGGCAGGAGAAACCGACACCAGGAAGATGGAGTACCCGGTCGCCAGCGCTCGATTTTATCCAGCGAGTGTGCACTAATGAGATACATGGGATTCCGGCGGGAAAGTGTTCACTTCATCCATAAGCGTATGCACCGGTTATAAATTTATGGGAAAGTTTAACGTCGCCTTATGAGGAAGCAACGAAATTGAATAGCAAAGCGGCTGTTGAGTGCCGTGGTAATAAACTGGCCTCGTCTTGCCATTTGGAGTATATCGACTGTTGGTTGGTACGTAGCCGGTCAGCAGTGGTAATATTGACGAGGGTGCATGTCTTGAACATTTTTGCTCTTTTTTGTAGCAGACACGACATCGACTTTCCTTCACTAGACATGGAAATATTGAACAAAGTTCACTGCCACGCTGCCACCACAACAATCGTACTTACATAAGCGTAAGATTGTAGCCGATTGGAAAAACATAAGTTTTCCGCGATTCACAAAAACGAATTTTAGTCGCCAGTGTCGTCATCACTGCGCTCAAACCATTTGGTTTTCAAACGTAGTTGATCTGAAAGATGTTCCAATCTTGCCGTGATCCAGATTCAATTCCCTCGGAGATAGACCCACTGATGGATTGCTCCGAACGCCAAAACCAGTGAGCTGTGTAATTTCTCGTCTGTCCGAGGCGCCCAGCCCTCTCCCAGCACGTTTTCAGAAATAATGCTGTCAGCCGATCTGAGGAAGTGTTTGGGCGTTGGGCGGGCACACGTCGGGCCGGTAGGACACGCCTCTGATGAAATGAGACGCGTCTGATCGGACAGCCCAGCCAGCCGCCAGCCAGCCGGCTCAAAGCCAATCGGTGTACTGCCTGTCTGGCCCCGGCACGAGCAGACAGAGGTTTGCGTTTTTGAACCGTGCAGTTTGACGTGTTCCGGGCTGTGCTTGTTCAGCTGAATGTGCTCATTAATTGTGGCACTTTGCAATTTTCGTCCGGTGAGGAGCCAATCGTCAAATTTGTCTCCGAACTCCCGCGATTTTAAAGTAGATTCGTACGAAATCGTCTAGCATTCAGTGTAGACCTCTTCGTTCGCGCAGCACCGGGAGGGGGGGGGGGGGGGGCTGGTCACCGTGGTCGTCTTGGCTACGTCCCTGCAAAAGTGTTCATTGGTCAACTGGCATAGGGCTATGTTGTCACACGGCCATGCGTACAGTCATCCATGTCAGCGCGCCTCTGTCAGCGGTGAGCACACCCGACAACATAAGGCGGCATACGCCCGGCATGAACGAGCGAGTGGATTACATAGGCCTTCCTGAAAGATACACGCGCCTGATCTGTGCCGAACCAGTCGCGTTTTCTGCCGAAGGCGATCACTCCCGGCCTTTCTCCCGCCTTGCACAATCGTGCATAAACCAGCTGTAATGGCGAACTCTTCTTCGCGTTCGCTGCTCTTCGGCGGTCCGCTCGTCGCAGAGCGTGCCGCTCAGCGCCACGTCTACCTCCACCGCCGGTGTCTCCAGGGAGGCCCGCCCCAGACCACGTCTCCATCTCGGCCGTCAGACCGGAGGGACCGGGACAAAGGGAGCGGGCGAGCGTGACAGGGTGGCGTGGACTGATGCCGCCGCCCGATAGCGGCCGAACAAAGCCCGGTGGCGGTCGGTCACCCCTGGCCGGTCGCCACGCCGCCCGATGGCCAGTTAGCCCTGCCCGCCGGCGACCCGCCACCCGGCGGCCGGTACCAACCCGTTGCCCTTTGTTCGTTGTTCCGATTATCTGCAGGTTGGTTACCCCTACCCGATGGTGGTTCGTGGCATTTGCCCGCGGGTGGTTGGTTACCCCTGACCATTTGTTGTCAGTTATCTCGTACCGCTGGAAAAAGAACACCCCTGCCCATCAGTCGGCCATCACTGACCACCGCCATCCTGCCCACAAATGGTCGGCCACTCCTGCCCACGGCCCCCTGCCCGCGAGAGGTTGGCCACCCCTGCCTGCCAGCGGTCAGCCACACCCGTTTGTCACGTGCCGGCCGTTGCTGAGGGCCGACATTCCTGACATGCTCGCAGTCCTCCGTTGCTCTATATGGTGCGCCTGGAGGGTCGACCGCACTCGACTTCCTCGGCTTCCTCGACTCTTGAGTGACATGACTGGAGGACTCGGATGACTGCGTCAGCCCGGGTGGCCTTCCTCGCCGGACGAATGTGCGCCAGGGCTGTGCTCCTGACCGGCGGGCAGGACAGAAGTAGGCACTCTCCTCCAGACTCTGCGCGTCCTGGGCGAAATTGAGGCAGATTTGTCAGGATGGCCTGGATGACGCCGACTCATCGCAATGATTTTGGGTTTCTCTGTTCTGATCATCGAACCCGATTTCGAAATTGTACGCTTTGCCGGTGCAAACTCGATGCAGGGAAGCAAGCGGCGGCGAGGCGAAATCTGCGGCGATATGAGCTGTTCCCGCCCTCTCACCACACCAGCCATGGAGTGAAGCCGACAGCGTGACCTCACCAGCGACCTGACCTGTCTGCGAACGGTGCTGTTGACCTGTCGACATGAGCGGCTCCGAGGTAGCGCAGCGCCTCGCTGGAGACCGGGGCGCCACGCGGCGTTTTCCATTACAGCGCGCCGCCGGAACCGCGGCGCGAGGTAACTGGGGTGGGCGCGGCCCGCCGTCGAGTGATTGCCCGGGCGGAGGCGGGTCTAGATCATCTGATATGGCGGGCGAACAGGGCAGTCAGGAGAGCAGGAGCGCCGTGGAACGCAGTCGTGCAACAGGCCCATGAGCGGGAACTACCCAGGGGATTTAGTGCTGGGTGGGACCCTGAGAATCACTCGATGTGTGCTCTATGACTCTCATGTTACAGCGGGTTGATTTGCTGCGTGCGAAGTGCACGAGCACTTACCCGCCCATTTATGTGGTACTATCTAAGACGTAAACGCCTAGCGCTGGCTGCCAACATCAGTAAACCCAGCAGCAAGCGTGCAGATAGGGCTCATGACTGATGGGCATAGACAAGCGCTGGGTCAAGGCCCTTGCCGCTTCGTTTACTGCACTCTCGGCCGCCCTGAAGAGGCCATCATACCGCACGTGCTGTTCCGCCGTCTTGTTGGCGCACCGGGATGGCGGATAGAGCGCCAGAGCCGCCGCCGCCGCCGCGGTTGGCGTAGCCTTGAGTCCGCGACGCGGTCGCCCCAGAACCGGCTCCGTCGCCGCGGCCGGCCGGTTTGCCGTCACGAGCGCGCCGCGGCCGGCGGCGCGGTCGCCCGCCTGCGCCGCGATCGTCCCGTCTGCGCCGGGCTGTGTTCCGTCTCGTTCATCACCGGCGGCGCGCCCCGACAGCTGGGGCCGATACCGGCCCACAGATGCGCCACAAGCGCCGATCAAACGGAGAGCGAGGCGAATTTGACACGGATTAGAGCCGGCCGGCCATCTGTCGGCCGGGCGCCTGTTCTGCCCGGCTCTGAGCGGGCGATGCCCCGCGTGTTGCGCCGCCGCCAACGCGCTGCGTCCGGCAAACAAGCCTCGTAAAGCGGGCTGTTGGACGCAACGAGTCTCGTAAAGCCAGCTGCTGGGCGGAGGGCGGCGTCTCCCGACCGACGCCCGCCGGCCCCAGCCCGGTGGACGCCGCCCCTCTGACGTCACGAGGAGTGGGCACTGCGCATCACCCTTGCGTGACCCAGGTCTGCGCTCGGGGTCGTAAATCACGGCAGAAGCACGGGTCGGCGGCGAGCAGGACCGGCCGCCGGGCCGGCCCCGCGGCGCACACGTGTAGCACGGTTTTGCGGCAGACCGGAGCCTGCCAAGGAGACGCAGTCTGAATAAGGGCTGCTCAAGGACCTTGCTGGGCGCCGCGGGATGGGTGCGTTCATTGTTCTTGCATGCGATAGGAATGCCATTGTTTCGATGCCCCTGCGCGACTAATGTGTCTTGAAAGGAGCTGGGGCAGCGGTAAATTATCTTCAGGGGATTCTAAAACCGCCGCTGGTCGTTACCATTTGTCGCATGAGCTTTTAATGGCGATCATTTATTTTGATGGCTGAACCGTTGGTCACGCGGTCTTGACTTTGATAGTCCAGCGCTGCGGCCGCCTTTTGTCAGAGCTGCCGCCCATCCTCTCTACTTCGCACGATCATCAGGTGGTTCGCACTGGAGACTCGAAGCGTACCGCCGCCCTGGGACCATATATGCACTGGACTGTATCATCGAGTGCACGGTATTAAGAGGCTCTGTCCAGCACTGCTGAGACCCAGCTGGCGCGCGCCGAGCGCAGACACCTGCACACCGCCGGCTAAGTGGCCTGGGAAGGTTTTCCACGGCACCAGCCTGCGGCCATCGCGCGGTGCTCAGCGTACACACCGCACCCGGACCGAGAGCCTTCTCTCACGCTCTCGTCCTCCGGCTTCAGCTGAACTAAGCGCGGTATTAACGAGCATGATCGCGCAATAATTAGACGGTCGCCGACAAGCCCTCTCTCTCTCTCTCTCTCTCTCTTCTCTCTCTCTCTCTTCTCTCCTCTCTCTCTCTCTTCTCTCTCTCTCTCTCTCTCTCTCCTCCTCTCTCTCTCTCTATCTCTCTCTCTCTCTCTCTCTCTCTCTCCTCTCTTCTCTCTCTCTCTCTCTCTCTCTCCTCTCTCTCTCTCTTCTCTCTCTCTTCTCTCTCTCTCTCTCTCTCTCTCTCTCTCTCTCTCCTCTCTCTCTCTTTCCTCTCTCCTCTCTCTCTCTCTCTCTCCTCTCTCTCTCTCTCTCTATCTCTCTCTCTTCTCTCTCTCTCTCCTCTCCTCTCTCTCTCTCTCTCTCTCTCTCTCTCTCTAGCTCTCTCTCTCTCTCTCGCTCTCTCCTCTCTCTCTCTCTCTCTCTCTCTCTCTCTCTCTCTCTCTTCTCTCTCTCTCTCTCTCTCTCTCTCTCTCTCCTCTCTCTCTCTCTCTCTCTCTCTCTCTCTCTCTCTCTCTCTCTCTCTCTCTCTCTCTCTCTCTCTCTCTCTCTCTCTCTCTCTCTCTCCTCTCTCTCTCTCTCTCTCTCTCTCTCTCTCTCTCTCTCTCTCTCTCCTCTCTCTCTCTCCAGGGGGACTCTCCACGTCACTCCGCCTCCGGGAGTTGATGGGGGTGAGAATGCGATGCTTCAGGTGGGCCTTCGGGCGGGGGCGGCGCCTGCCTAGTACCATCACATAAACTATTAGTGTGCTCCTACGAGGCGTGCGCCCTCGCCCGGACTGATAAACGGTGATTGCAGGCTTGTTCAAGGCAAGCCGACGGTACGGCCTCTTATGACAAAGGTGGACGTGAAGCTGTGCACTTGCCATAGATCTTTAAACTGAGGCCGAAACTTTCAGATATGTTCGCGTTTGGACGTATTTCATTGACGAAAAACGTACGCGTCCTTGTCATTCTCGGACGATCTCATTCCGAGGCCTCCGTTGTCAACGATTCAGATGCGACAGCTAGCTCATCTGCCTTTGGGTAAAGCATGAACCACCTACATGAGACATCAGCAAACTGTACACATTCGCCAGCTCTGACAACGCCAGGCAGTTCCGTCACGGACGAAACGAGTCTCGTTCGGAGGCACCCGTTAGAACCCCGTGGACTCGGACAGTGTGAGCCTGTCATCCTGGGAAACACGGACCACAACTCCCGCGGCGACCGAGCCGCGCGGCCGGCATCACGAGGCGTGCCAGCACCGCCTCGGTACCGAGTACCCATACCTGGGGTCAGGTGGCGGCGCGAGCGGGAGCGGTCAGCGCTCCGGCCCAGGCGCCGGCGCTCTTCCGCGCGCGCGCGCCGGGTCGCCCGTTCCGGCTGACTGGCTGCGTGCAGCCGGCGGCGGCGTCACCCTCTGCAACAATGCAGCGCGGCAGCGCCGGCGTTCGTTGATCCCGGCTATCACGCCTGTCGAGAGGCTGCGGCCGCCGCCTGGTGGGCGGCCCTCATGGGGTTCTTGAACCCGGCCGTCGGCGCCGGTCGCCGAGGGGTGGGACGGAGCCCGCTGAGAGACGGACGGACGAGTGAGGGGAGATGTGGCATGGGGAGCGGTTGTTGGTCGGGTAGCTGCCCAGGCGGTCGTACCAAAGGCTGAGGTTTGGACCGGTCGGCAGAGATTGTTGGGAAAGGGGACAACGCTGTTTCTATCTTACCAGGGGCGTAACCCCAACGGAGCTGTGATCCATTGCCACATAGCATGCTTTCATGCCTTTCTTCTTCATGCAGAAAATGCAATGAACAGGTGAAAATTTGAAAACTGCTGTACACATTCAGAAGGCGTCAGAAGTGCGTTGCCTTGTTGACAGTTCCGGAGTTGTGCTGGTGTTGCCTTGTGGCCGTTCCGGATATGTGCCGGTGTTACCTCGCGGACAGTTCTGGAATCATGCGGGTGTTGCCTTGTGGGCAGTTCGTATCCACGTTTGTTGTGGTTTGTTTGGTGACTCGCATAATATCCGCCCATTATTTGGTAGCAGTTGTGGTCCACGATTCCCACAAATTCAATCTAGCCTGCCTTCTGACCAGCAAGTGCTAAGGGGAGGGCGAAATAACTTGGGGTGTACTGATTCTATTAAGATTCCAGCAACGCTTGTCACCGCTCTTGAACACGGAAAAAAAATAGGACGCTCACGTTCAACTGGCTTGACTTGTTTCAACCAACTGCTTTCTCCAAAATGGACTTCGCCATGGGCGCTCGCAGCTTAAAACCCTGGTCGGGTTTCATTTTCACATTCACACGTGAGCCACATCCTGCGGTACGGCATATGAAACCCACAGGAAGCGTGACATGTTTGCTATCCACATTGCGCCTCGATTTGGTGGTTTACCAAACAAAGACCGCAAACGAAGGAGGAAGTGTACGGGCTTTCATTGTTTGTTTTCATCCTAAGGCGCGCGGCTACCAGCTGTTGCCCTAAGCACGCCTCGTACCCGTACCGTCATGTGCATGAGGTAGAATTCAGCTTAAATTTAGCGTTACCGTGAGCTTATATTCAGTATAAGTGGCACTCGTATTTACATTGCAGGCAGCACCACTTACCTTCCGCGTCGCTGTGACCTTTCCCATCCCTTACCCAGCGGCCGCTACCTGCTCCGTGTGCCCGCGTACCGAGCTGTTACACCCAGCTCAGGCAAGGACGGGTGCTAATTCCCCGCCTCGCCCGCGGCGGCCAGCCGGCGCGGCCCAGTGTCAGCGACCCCTGCCGCCCGGCTGCCAAATCCAGCCCGACAGCTGCCATATGCTCTGAGACCGAGCGCCAGGCGCCAGCGAGGCGTCCCACCGCCCAGGGCGACCGCGCCGTGTCGGCTAATTGTAGAAAAACACGTGTTAGCCGGGACGATTTTCCGGATCACGGAGTCGAGATATTTATCAGAACGGACCATCATTCATCCGTCCTGCAGCGCTGTATCGTGCGGTATCAATTACTCACGACGAAGGCGGTGCGATTCGAGCGTGAAGAACGGCTTATTCATGGTCGGTGTCAGCCATCCTTGAAGTCAACTGAAACGAATCCGTTGATGGCATCTTCAAAGCATAACGACGTCGAATGATGTGGAACGACTGCGAGGCATTGTGACATTGTAAGGACCGTGTGATGGCACTTTTGTCTGTTTTCCTGATTTGAGGCGTTGTGTTAGATAAACGTGTGGTTGGAGAGCCTTGTTATCCCGTCTTTAAACGAGCAACACTGTCTGTTCAGTGTGTATATCCGGGAACCCGACTTGTTCCGTCTTACCTTGTGGAGCTGATCTGCTATAACATGACGCGGAACTTAAAGTGACATCAAACATCCGAACATGTTTTCATGACACCCACTGTGTTCCACGCAAATTAAAACTCGTCATTAAAGCCTACGATCTCGCATGAGTCTTTGTACGAATTTCGGAGGGATTAAAGGGAGAACTGTTTAACTTAACAACATTTTTTGTAAATTAAAGGAGAAAATTGTAACGGTTGCCCACTGCCCATTAGACTCATGGTCACGAGCGACCATGAGCGCAACTTGAAATGCGGAGTATTACGAATGTAACCAATGCTTGCTTGATGGCATTGCCAAAAAAGCAACAGCTCCTGACATATTTTGAGTAGATTATTGCCAGCAGAATAACTCCCAACTCACATTGCCGAAACAAAAAAGGAGCTCAGGACATTTCTTGGTTACGTCAAGCCTGACTTGTGACTCGGATCTTGGATATACATGGGTTTAAAAAACAACGGTAGAAAAGTGGGTCATTTGGTACTTAGGATGACCAGTCCATGTAAAAAGCGGCTGAACACCTTCATACAATTGGTATGTATGCCCCTTCGCTGTCTTCCAGATCAAGGCCAGATTAGCCTCAATAATAGGTTCAAATCTTGGATTCGCTCTGTCATTTTCGATGCCGGAACGCATGCATTCGCTTGGCGTGGCCGTAACCACTGTGTCCAACTCGGCAATTAGCTCTGCTTTCGCATAGCGGTAGCCCGGCCTGAGACGATTGTGTCGGCCCGCCTGGCCTGACCTTCGACCTGGGTCGATGGCCGTGCATGCCAGGCCGTCGCACGCAGGCCGCTCCCATCACCCGCGTGCTGATGGGGCCGCCACATGCATCGCCGCTAGCGTGAGCGCCGTCCGGGCGCGGCCGAGTGGTGTCGGCGGTGCTCCTGTGGTTAGTTTGTCGCGTAGACGCCAGGTGGAGGTGGTTGATTTCTCGTGTCGCCGACAGGTGTCGGTAGTTGGTTTTCGTGGCTTTACCAATCGTGGATAGTTGGTTTGGTATACCACTGCCGGGTGGGGATAGTTTGTTTGACAATGTGCTGTCATGTGTTTCGTTTTCTTCATATCAACGGCCCTTGTGCTGGTGAGTGCGTTAAGCCATCGGCAAGCGCACATAGTCGGTTTCATGCGCCCCCACCAGGAAGTGGCAAAGGCTGGTGTTGTGTCACATCTGGGTAATAATGGCTTCTCGGGTCGCCGCCAGGTGGTGATCGTCGGCAATGGCGCTGTTGGCAAGTCCAGTATGATCCAGCGCTACTGCCGCGGTACCTTCACCAAGGAGTACAAGAAAACCATCGGAGTCGACTTCCTGGAGCGCATGATCGAGTGAGTAGCGTTGCCGGAAAGCAGCGGTACGGAGTAACTGGTGGTCGGTCGCTAGCGCGCGGTTTCGCCTGGTGACTGAATGAAACTGTGCACTGCTTTGCACTCCGATAAAAAGCGCCCATTGTCGTGATTTGACGTGAATGAATGAACACAGGCGTTCTGTCGCCCACCGGTGGCGGTGACTTCCGTGTCCCCACCAGCAGTCCACCTTTGACAAATGGCTGGTGCTCGTGACATGCGTGCTGAGCCGGGCACGCCTGTACGCGGGCGGTGTCCGTTGCAGCCGCCGCCGGCCGTTGCGGTGATGGGGTCCGCCCTTGTGCCGCGACCGTGGAAGTCTGCTTTCATTAGGAGGTGGCGTTGAGAAAACCCCGCCTAAGACCGTCGTTTTTTAATCGGCCGATTAAAGAAGCGTTGTTGTCCGAGTGCGTGCGACTCGGGGATGTGAGACAAATTACCGACCGCCGGAGGACACCGGTGTGAAGTCAATCAGAGGTCGGCCGCTGGTCAGGGACGTGTTTTTCGGTGGTGGCGACGGACACCAGCGGGGGCTGTCGGCATGGAAAATAGTTTCTCGGTCAAAATGCCAGCTTTAGTAATGTCAGTTTTACCAGACATGCCAGCCGGCTTCAGCAAGCACAGAATCAAGATGGATGGTATTCGCATCTGAATCGGTGTCAGGGCAGAAGCTGGTCACAGCTGTCACAGCTGGACACAGCGTTAGGCGTATAGAACCCCGGAATACTTGGAAAACTTAACGGTTAATGTTTTGCTTTTTAACAAGAGCATGGACAAGATGTCATCTGGATGTCCGGCTGCCACCTGCTCTTTCAGTGCTACATAAATGACCTCAACGTGCACAGCGGACTGGCGGTCAACCTATCTGACTGGAGCCGTGGCCTTGTCTTATGATACAAGTACTTGATGGGGCTTGCGCTGCACAAAAACTGGTCTTATTAGGAACAACGCCCATTAATGAGGTCATCAGCAGCGAATCACTGCTGGAAGGGACGTACAAATTGCATTCGTCAGAGCGACTCCGAGGCTTTCAGTTCAGCCCTGTCATAGCACTGACGGTCAGCACACTTTGATGCAGAAAGTGGCCTCGATGAAAGTGGAAGCATACATTGATCGTGCCATGGTTTCAGGTAATGGGCTTGTCCTCATTTTTTGAGTTCAGAATCGTGTCATGGTTAAGATGAGTGACGTTTAGTGGTTGTGCGCTCAGCAATCACCGCTCTAGCATGCTTGCGCTGAATTTTTTAACTAAGGCGGCTCTAAGGAGTTCCCCAAACTCCCATGTTCCAAAAATTGGAAATCCCAAATCCAGTACTTTAAATATTCCAAAGGAAAACCAGCGGGGGGTTGTTAAAAGGGACAGCTGGCAATTGGTTCCTCTTCGAATACAAGGCGGATGCCAGTAGATGTCCAACTAGATGAAATTGCCAACATGCAGTTGCAGAGTAGAAAGATGATCTTTAGAATGACCTTTTCACGTAGTGCGATATAGATGTCATGTCCCCAATGGTGCGCGCTTTATGTCAGCTTAATTCGTAAAATACATGGTTTGTTGAAAAGCTCCATACACACACAATAGATAACAATTTGCTAGAAAACTAAGTTTCAGCAATTTTAAAGAAATTTTGTTCTATGGTCGTGTTTTGGTCTCAGAAAGCATTCGAGGGCTCGTCGAATGCGTAATATTGCAAAGACGAACGGTTAAGTTTCTAGGAATATTATTGTTAATGTCAGAAAGAGTTTCGAGTTTTTGTCGATCTGGAAGGCAATCGGCCAATGCTGTCAAAAACAAAAACACGCATATTAACACACATGTGCACACGAACACTCCGCCATGTGAACGAAGATGTACGCCCGCTGTGCCACTAGAGTCGGCCATCGTCGTCTAATTGCTCGGACGTTACGCTCCGTTATGCTCGGTCAGGCCTGCATCACGCATCACGGCTAGAGCCAGACGAACGGATTCTGCGCGGTCACAATCCCTGTGTACTCCACTGCTAACCACCCACCAGCAAGCGTTCACCGCTCGCCGCACTCCTGCCCCGGTGGCCCGGCTGTTAGCAGTCCGCTCCGCTGCGTCCAGCGGTGGGGCATTCACAAGACGGCGTGACGGCCGTGCCACCCGGCCGGTCGTGCATACGAGTCGTGACTCGGTCGTGACTCGGTCGTGAGTCGGTCGTGACCGGCAGGATTGACTGCACTGTTAACAAGAGGATTCCGACAGTTGGGGGATGCGGGATGAAATCACAAAGCACAGCGACAACAGGCTGCTGTCTTGTATAGAATTTGATCGGCTTACGTACTCACTGACCGTACTTGGTCCGAGGATGACGCTGTGCATGAAGTCATACATTTTCACAATTATGCTCAGTTTCAAGAGTGCGATAGGAATTCGGCAGACATGTTCTCGCTACGTGAAGATAACAGAAAACTAACGCCAAACAATGGCAGCAAGGATGGCCCGTTTCCTTCCGAAGAAAATTTCTGGAGGTAAATGAGCTTTTCCATTTCTGGGAGGCTTATCTCAACTGATCTATCCCCATGAGCGTATTCGTTCCGTAAAGCGTTTCAAATGAGCCAGCCCAAAGCATCATTCGTCCCTGTTCCTGATGAGGTATGTTTGTGGTCACTGTTCAAGTCATCTAAACGCTCCTTGCCACGAGTCTGAGGTGCATATGTCAAGCGCTCGTGGTATGTTTACGCCGCCCGCATCTTGAAGAGCACCCATAAAGCATTCCGAGCCGCCTAATGCTGCCCAAGGGTCACAAGCAAAGCGGTTCTCAAAACAGTTAGATGCAGTTACCCGAGCGAGAAGCACGCATTGTGTCCCGCTCTGCCGCGAGGCATCCCTCCGAACATCCCTGTGCGCCGCCCGTGAGCACGTCCGTCTCGGCTCAGGCACTCACTGGTGTCATCCCGGGAACTGACAATGAGCCGACGCCGGCGATTGCCCGGATAACACCCGGCTCGTGATGACGCCCGGAACATGAATGTGCGCGCGTGGCCAGGCGTCGTGACCGGCCTTCCGTTCCGCCGTCGGCCCGGTCGCCGAAGCGTGTCAAGGTACCGTCTCGGGGACCGTCGTCCAGCCACGACGGCCCGCCAGGGCGCGCGCTTTGTCGCGACAGGTGCGCGCTTTGTCGGAGCAGTCGCACGGTTTGGTCGAACAGTCGCGCAGTTTGGCGGGACAGGTGCGCGGCTTGGCGGGACAGTCGCGCGGTTTAAGTCAGGCTGGCACCAGGACTATTTTGTGAGTGCCTCGTGCTCAGCACCTGCGCTGGGGGATTTTCAGAACTGAGGTTTCTTTCGTTTCTGCAGTGTTGCGTCGGCGGTTGTTGTAAATAGTGTCGGAAAAAAACAACTCAAGTGAGGCTAAATGGACGTCTATCGATCAATACCCCATGTATGTGCCAGTGTTATTGATCATTTAATGCCGTGAGCAGATGCCCCAGGTTGGACGTAATCAATTCCAGGGCTAATTGTGGTCGTCTTTTCTAAGTGCCTTGCTAATAATGAAGCCAGCTCATCAGTACCTACATCGGGCGAAAAGTCTATGCACACCCGCATAAGCAACGCCCAGGCGAGAGAAACATGAACCTAATCACATGTCTCGTGTGTTCAAAAATTACTTCACCAGTGACTGAAGGCTGGATGTTCGGAAATCAAAGTCATGGGGAATAATTGCAGCCATGAAACTTAGTGAAGAGTTCATGACAGCGTTTAGCAAATATTTATGAGTTGGACAAGGTTGAATTGAATCACATCAAAGCAGAAATGATGCATAATATACTCGTTTGATATGGAGATGCGTCACAATGCATTTAGCTTGATGTCTGATCCGACCGATATCTCTATTCCCCAAGAGATAAGCTCGTACAGTAATTATTGTCTTGTGCTTGTTAAAGATGGATGAGAATCTGTCAAAAACCATAGTATCCCTCAAAGTCTAGGGACCCACCCAGGGTTCAAACTATACTCACGAATCGGAAAGATTTGGATATTCGACCACGCATCGCTGATGTCTTCATCCCAGGAAGACAAACTTTCAGATTCTTGTGTGGATGGGACACGTCGCCCCTATACACGGCTGCTCAAGTCCATGCCATTGTCTAAGTGCATTGGCATGCGTAGCTGCCGGTGGATGATCACGCGATGAGTGGCGGTGCGTCAGCACGTGCTATTGATCATATCTGCGGCGTCTGAAATCGCCTTCTCTCGTTTCCATTGATGTAGAATTTGAATTTCCGACTCTGAGCTCAGGGAACTGGTTAGAAAGGAACGAACTTTTGTAATCGGAAGCGGAAAAAGTTCAGTATGACCTTCATCGGCTCTTACATTAAATCCCATTGTCCGGTTCTGGTTACCTCAGGAAAGTAAGGTCAAGAACCTCACCCAGCTTTCCTGCACATTGCTGTGCGGACTGTAAACATACCGCTGCCGCGGACCGACCTGTCCCTCGACCTTGAGATGACATTCCCCGAAAGATCGACACGGCCCCGCAGTATAGCAAGGTGTGATGTTTGGGATTATGCCAGATGTAGGCGCTGAGAACCGCCGGATGTTTACGGACATGCCAGAGCCGGGCGTGAAATCTTTGCATCGCAGCGTGATGTGCAAAATTCAGCTTCGGCGTTTTTATGGACGAGCTAACTAGCGGTATCGTGACTGGTTCCTGGCTTCTTGCACACATTTAAAGGAAAAAAACAGCACATGTATACATCGGTGTGATCACAGAAAGCGTTATTCTGATAGAGATGGGAAAGTCATTTTCATTCTGCTTAGCAAACCATACGGCTGGTAATGCAGTCCAAGTGTGTTATTGCCTGCGATTACCGGATATTCCATGAAATAATTATCTGCTCTAGAACGTCCCAGAAGTCGTTCAAGGTGCATCTACTTAAACCGTTCTCCACGGCGGTGGCACATACAGCACGGGACCAGCGCAGCCAGCAGCGAACGCGCAGGGCAGACTCAGAAGATATCGTCGTCGATACTCCGTCCAACTGTCCCTGACCCCCAGTCGTAAAGCCGTGGCCGCCCGTCGCCGGGCCGCCGACCCGCGACGTTTATACCGTATCAATCGCACTCCCCGGCTGGAAAACAAACAGCCATTCCGGCATTCAGTCCGGTGAAAGGCGGCTGTCGGCGTCGGGAGCGGCCGGCTGCGCGGCGATCAGTCAGCCGCGCTGGCGCCGCGCCGTCCCACCGCCGCTGGCCGGCCCGGCCCGGGCTCCCCCAGACCGAGCGGGACGGCCGTCCGCAGCAAGGTGGCGGACGTCCCGCCGCGCTCCGGTGGACTGTTCTGGGCTCGGTGGGCTCTGGGGTGGCTCTGCTGGGCCCCACTGGGCCCTGGCCGGCTCAGAGATGGCTCCATGGGGTCCCGTTGACCTCCGGTGCGGTCGGAGCAGGGCGGCACTGCCGAGCATCACCGAGTTCATGTGACCTCAGTGACTGGCCCTTTTGGGCTTCATTGGGCTTGAGTGAGCTTAATGATGACTTCGCTGGATTTCACTGGGCCCCGTTTGGCTCAGAGCCGACTCTGCTGGGCTCAGATGGACTTCTGTCGGCTCCCAGGTGGATATGATAGTCTCCACTGGATTTCGATGGACTCAGGGGCTCCACCAACTCTGCAGAAGGTCCGTTCAAACGCTCTCAGTCCTCGGTCAAGTGCCGTCAGTCCCCGGTCAGATGTCCTCATTCCCCGGTCAACTGCCCTGAGTCCCCGGTTAAATGCTCTTAGTCCCCGGTCAACTGCCCTCAGTCCCCGGTCAACTGTATTCAGTCCCTGGTCAACTGACCCCCGTCCCCGGTCAAATGCCCTCAGTCCCCGGTCAACTGCTCTTAATCCCCGGTCAAGTGCTCTAAGTCTCCGGTCAAATGCCCACAGTCCCCGGTCAACTGCTCTTAATCCCCGGCCAAGTGCTCTAAGCCTCCGGTCAAATACCCATAGTCCCCGGTCAAATGGCCTCAGTCGCCAGCCAAACGACCTCAGACCCCGGTGGCCGGCCGCCGTTCGTGGATGGGCCGCACGTTCCGACTTAGAGAGCGAGGTGTCTCAGGCGTTGACCTCCCGTTCCGGATGGATGGCTGCGGTCGTCCGGCGACACTGTGTGCTGGCTCGGTGTTGTCCGGCCATCGTCACTGCTGCATAGCGATCGGCCCCGATCCGCCCGATGCGTTACAGGACGGTGCATGTCACCGATTTCTCGGTGATAATCAGATATTTTAGTGACGACCCGTGATTGTCAACTGAATCTGCAAGCATGTTTTCGCTCAGTGGCGGGTAGATGTCCATCATACCACTTCTCACGTATGTAAATTTAGACAAAAACAGGAGGAAGGAAAGTAGCGTAACAGAAACTTTGAAATGCTCAATTTGTGTTCCTTTATAAGCTATCCTCACAGTGGGAGGAAATCACCTCTATTTTGCAAGTAGCACTGTTCAGCAGGGATGAGAAGCCTTTGCAATGCCGGCGATATGTGCAATCAGATGCTGTAGACCATGGGAAATCTGGTCTTTTGACTTGTGTTCATGATCCGTTTGCCTTATCGATTTGAAAACACCGCATGCTGTGCACTTTCCAAACTGGTTGGGCAAACAGGCTATTTAACGACGCAATTTAGTGCATAAAACTGACGGCACGAACAGAACATCGACAGCCAGGGAAGTGATCAGACAAAATATTTGATGGAGGGTATCGCAGGGTCACCAGGCTTTGAAAACATGGGGGCTGCTTAATCGTAACTGTTAACTGCCTGGTCACGACTGCTCGCCGCATGAAACAAACGTGGGGTCGGTCACGATGCCGGTGGGGATTTCTCCCATAAAAACAGCCTAACGACAAAGGCAAGTCAAACATCGTCAGTAATAGGCTACCGATGGTGCGTTAAATTGTAAGAGGAGTGTTTAAGTCTCAGGGATTTCAGTGCGATGACAGTGCAGATGTTTTTTAAGAGAGCGCGAGAGCTTTTAATTGATTACGATGGATCTACCTTTCTAATGAAACTTGATGTAATGGGCCACGATCCGATTTCTTCCCATATTTATAGCAAGAGACATGTTCACAGTGTTTCCCTTCTGACCTGTGCAGCTCGGAAGGCCAGCCATGCCTTCAGTATTCTCGTGCATGGGGGGCCTTAGTCACCACGCACGCTGTGGGGTGTGCGATGACCTGACTCATAATGTGTGGAATGGACAGCGACAACGCCTCTATCGCTAGGTGCACACTGACCCAGTACTCCTTTCGCGGGTGTGAAACTACCCTCTCCTTATGCCACAGAGTGCAAAATAACGCTGGTCTCCTGTTGCACGGTGTAGAAAGACTCCATTTTTCCGGCCTCTGATGCGTAGTGTGTAATGACCCGATGTCCATGTTGCAGGGAAAAACTGCGTGTTCCTGTTGCATGGTGTGATATCATTCTCTGCCTGCCTCGCTGGACATCCGAATACTTAATGTAATTGTTGCAGAATGCACATTGACCTCGTGTCCCTGCTGCGAAGCGTGCAACTTCCCTGTGTTCCTGATATAAAGTGCACATGACTTGTGTTCCTGACACATAGTGTAGAAAGATCCCGTGCGCCTGTTTCAGGGTGTACGATGACTCGGTGCGGCTGATGCTCTGGGACACAGCCGGTCAGGAGGCTGACACAGAGTGTAGAAAGACCCCGTGCTCCTGTTTCAGGGTGTACGATGACCCGGTGCGGCTGATGCTCTGGGACACGGCCGGTCAGGAGGCTGACACAGAGTGTAGAAAGACCTCGTGCTCCTGTTTCAGGGTGTACGATGATCCGGTGCGGCTGATGCTCTGGGACACAGCCGGTCAGGAGGCTGACACAGAGTGTAGACCCCGTGCTCCTGTTTCAGGGTGTACGATGACCCGGTGCGGCTGATGCTCTGGGACACGGCCGGTCAGGAGGAGTTTGACGCCATCACTAAGGCGTACTACCGGGGCGCGCAGGCCTGCGTGCTCACGTTCTCCACGGTGGACCGCGCCTCCTTCCAGGCCGTCCGACACTGGAAGAAGAAGGTGAGCAAGCGGTCACACAGCGCGGTTCGTATGCTCTCCCCCAGTGCTGGCAACGTTCTTTCTTCGTGTATTTCGGCGACACAAATTTCCAAGAGATAGCAAAGGCGCTTATGCCAAAACCAGTTGCGTAAAAGTGCAGCAGGTACACAAAATATCGTGGTTCACTGCGCAAAACTACAAAAACAAATAGCATGTCCCAACCCGGTGGATCTACCCAGAACACCCAGCTTGGTTCCAGTCCCAAATATACGCACCGATCGCATGTCACGCCCCGGTCCTGCACACCACCCTGCCGTGACTCCAGCAGAAGTCCACGCCCCCGGTCCTGCACACCACCCTGTCTTGACTCCAGCAGAGGTCCACGCCCCCAGTCCTGCACACCACCCTGCTGTGACCCGGCCGTGGTCCGTGACCCCAGTCCCGCACACCACCCTGCTGTGACCCGGCCGTGGTCCGTGACCCCGGCTGGTGGCGGATCGCCAGGGCGTTCCTCGGCCCGAGCGGGACGACGGCCGCCGGGGGCCAGATGACAGGCACGTGAGCCGAGGGTCGGCACGGTGGACCGCTCTCCGCGGCTGGATAATGGCGCTCGCGGCGCCTTTGTGGCGCGGTCTGCGGCGCCCGCGCACTTCCGGGCGACGTTCTCACTGCCGGGTGACTTTCTCACTGCTGGGCGGCGTTCTCACTGCTGGACGTTGTTCTCACTGCTTGGTGGCATTCTCGCTGTCGAGCGTCGTTCTCACCTCTGGGTGAAGCTCTCACTGCCGGGCAGGCGTTCCCGCTGTCGAGCAACGTTCTCACTGCCGGGTGGCGTTCTCACCATCGGGCAGACGCTCCTGCTATCGGGCACCGTTCTCACTGCCGGGCAGGCGTTCCCGCTGTCGAGCATCGTTCTCACTGCCGGGCGGCGTCCTCACCGCCGGGCAGGTGCTCCTGCTATAGGGCACCGTTCTCACTGCCGGGTGGTGGTATCACTGCCGGGCGGAATTTTCACCGCCGGGCAGAGTTCTTGCTACCGGACGGCATTCTCGCTGCCGGACGGCGTTCTCACCATCCGGAAGACGCTGTGTGCCAGTGGGCTGCGATTGTGTTTCTCTTTATACACGGTTTGATTCGTTCCGTTGACACATACTGTAGCTTTTGGTGCCTCTGTTGTACGTTTGTTCACGTAAAGAAATTCTGTCTCGCGATGTGTTTTGCCGTCGTCGATGCCGGCCGTCGCTGATTGTGTTTTTGTACCAAATAGTAGAGGAAAGCACAAATTACAGCTCAGGCGAACATACGGCAAGCCTTCGCTACCAGCACATGGCTAACATAGTCTCCAGAAAAGCGCTACAAGCATCTCTTTCCTAGCATGACTATCCATGCAAACCGCCAAGTCTCGGCGACCATGAAAAGGCGGGTTGCGATTCACGACTGCAGCAGCTGGTCGTGACACCCCCGCGATGGGCCGGCAGCAGTCCACAAAGGCCATCGCCCGCTATTGGACGGGAAGGCCGATGAGCTGGAGCATGCCGACAATGCAGACGCCAGCCGCCCAAGGTGACGCTAAGTGGATCATGACGATGCAAGTGTTCAGTGCCCTGTCGGGATCCCCGTGATCTGTGACCACTTGAGCGGCAGTCGATGCGGCAGTGCAGTTCAGCAGTGCGGCATTTGATGCAGCATGAGCAGTGAATATCGATGCTGTCTGCATGACATTTGACTTGATTTATGGGCCCAGACTTAAGGTGCATGGATTGCATCCAACTGTCACCAACGCCGGTGTGCCAAGTCCCTAAATCGATAACATAGTCAGAAGGATGCAGCGCACTAAGCTCAGCCAAAAGTTTGTTGTGGTGTTGTGTCTGTGAGCTGATCCTATGGTAAATTATCAACATGCACCCGCGCTACGGTAGCATTACACATGAAGAGGTCTGAAACTTGGCGTTGCGGTGTTGATGTCAAAAACTAAGGCAACAATAAAGGGACACTGCTTTGTTCTAGAGCCAACGCGTCGCACGGCCTCGATTTAGTGCAAAACGCTGTACGAAGGCTGATTGATATGACAGTACTTATAGCCTTATTCCTCGTAGAATAACCAGGAGAAGGGGGAAATAGATGCATCAGTCTTCTGGCTAGTTGTCTTTTTCGAAACGAAAAAGGCGATGTCAAAAGAATATATCTGAGTTTTCCGTCTCCAAAAGGCATGTAGCTGAATTATCAATGCATCAATCTTACCACTTTTCTAAATGTTTTCGAGGAATAGGACTATTGGTACTGTCTTATCTAAGTACATGTTACTCACAAATGCACTTAACAACTTGCGTTACTCTGAGGCTGATCGCCTGATTCGCTGCAGATATCGCACATGGCTCCGCAATGTATCTTCCTCGGCTCAACGTCAGCTGTTACCTCACACCCATCAATCACCATCGGGCCGCCACACGACCTTAACCCGGGCCGCCCTTTCACAAATTGTCCCGGGCGGTCCGGCTCGTGCGATCCATCAGCGCTGGCCGACGGGCCGATCCGATCGCGCTGACCCACACTGACCCGATCCGCGCCCGCCGGGCGCAGCCAGCCCGCATCTCCCAATCGACGGAAATCCGGAGGAAAGTAGGTTTGTAAAACGGCGCGCAGGCCGCCAGGCGGCGGCGCGCATAATCAGTCTAATCCTCTCGCGGTCAGCTGGTGCATGTCTTCAGACGGGAGAGGGTGCTCTCGCAAGGTCGGACAGATTACGGCGTCGTGTGGCAGAACACTCCGACGGTAGCGTCATCCACATTCGCCAGTGGAGTCCATCCACATCCGCCAGTGGAGGGATTCACGTTGGTCAGTGGAGTCGTCCATTTCGCCAGTGGAGTCATCCACAAATCCGCCAGTGGAGCCATTCACATTCGTCAGTAGAGTCCTCCAAATCCGCCAGTGGAGTTATCGAAATCCACCAGCGGAGTCATCCACATCGCCGGAGCGGCGCTGCCATCTCAGCTTGAGGTGACGTCAGCGTGTGCCCCCGGTGCCCACGCGCCTCGAACGAGGACGGCTTAAGTCTCATGCGCGATGCAGTCTCCAACAGATTGCCTGGCCTCGCGTTCCGCTCTCCCTATTCATCGACAAGAATCGCGCAAATCTCGTCACCCGCGGCCTCCCACAAGCACAACCCTGTGGCCGACGCCGATGCCGATGCGGTGAGCAGGCATCGGATGGCAGGGCGCCTTCCTTCTCTCCCAGCGTACCCTCGCTGGGAGCAGTCCTACTTCGCACTCGTCCTGTCCCGTCTTCCCAGCTCCGTGGACTCACCCGGCAGACGAGCACTGCGCCCTCCTGGAAAACAATCTGCGCATGATGGAGCGTTCCCCGCCATGTCATTACATTTTCCAGACGCACGGACGGTCAATAGAAACGGGCCCCGTGGTCGTGATGAATGGAGAGGAGACGCGCCGCGCTCTAACCTGGCTGAGGAGGTCGGTGCGATGCCCCTCCGATTACTGGGCATTACTCTGGGCTTTAATGCGGCCGTGGCTGCGCGGAGCCAGCACTTTAGTGCTTATCGCTTGGCAAAAGTGGATGGAGATATTCGGGGAGATCATTGAAATAGCCAGATCTGGTCATTATCCAATCAGCGTGGTGACACCACATCGCGCTGGACTTTATCCAATAAACGCATGATGGCACCACATCACACAACTGCGGATGTGGTGCCATCAAGCATCGCAGCTTTATAGGCCATGTTTGTAATTATGTGCATGACGAGCAAGCACAGAGGTGCGATGAAAGCTAAGAGGCGGTTAGGTTATCGCGACGCTCAGGTGACGTTCAGAAGATATTACACTCACTGAGAGGCCGATATGCAAAAAATGTTTAGCCTGCAGATGTGCAGAATGTGTTTGGACATCTCATTTAATGAGGTAGGAAGCACAAGCACTGGTGATAACTTTGCTTGGCAAAGCTATTGGGCCTTTGGTAGCACTGTTCACAATCAAAGTAGGTAGCTATACACCTAAGTTAAAACTCTTCAGTCAACACAAATGAATAACCGCTTAACTAGTCGATATGTGGCCTGGAGGGTGGGAGAACGGATCTTTAATCGTGTCTTAGGCGGATGCTGGAGGGGGACCACTGATGGTGTGGTGCGGGGCCAGCTTTTTCGTCCCTTCAATGATAAGCCGTCTGTGGAATGACAGAAAGGCCGAAGGGAAACACAGAGGCTGGTGTGTGGGAAATAGATTCCACACTTAGTGCTGGGTAGTGTCTCGTCCATCGATAATTCCCTTGGGCTAGGTCATAAGATTGCACTTATTTTACAAGCAGTTGTCAGATAATTTCCAAACCGAACTTGATTTATCACATGATGAAGTCAGTAATTCGTTGACAACAGCGGCGGGTAACAGTTCGGGAACAAGTGCACCTCACGGATACCTTCAATTACATCAGCGATTTAGTGATGTGTAGTACTCCTCAGAAGATGTAGGGGCGTTGTCTGATGACATGTTCGATGACGTCACTGATGTAGTGACGTGGGCTGGTTGCTTTCAGGTGGAGGATGAGTGTGGCTCGATCCCGATGGTGCTCGTCCAGAACAAAATCGACCTCATCGACCGCGCCACCATCGACGCGTAAGTGCTCTGGGGCTTGACCATTGCACTATGACAAGCAGGGGACCGGGTCATATGCACGTGGGACTTTTCCTGCAGACAACCGTCGTTAGCTACGATTAAATTGCGTCAAAACGGCAAGCACATGACACCATCATTTGTGCACGTTACAGGGATGCATAGATAATCACAAGTCGTTGACGCAAAACCCGAGCAAATCTTTCATCTACGTGCATGGTTGTGTGCCATCCCCGCAAGCGTCAAGCCTGTAATGCACTTTCTGATCACATTTTGTTTCGCACCTGACACAACGCGCCTTGTTACAGCCGTGTAGAGAGAGTGAGTCGACTAAAGGATGTGTATTGACGGACGTGTGTTGGCAGCGAGGAGGCGGAGGCGCTGGCGCGCGAACTGAAGGTGCGTCTGTACCGCACCTCCGTGAAGGAGGACCTGAACGTGAGCCAGGTGTTCACGTACCTGGCCGAGCGGTACCTGGCCGAGATGCGCACCTGGGAGGACGACGAGTTCGAGCCGCGCACCGTCATCACCACCAGTGAGTACCGTCAGCACCATTAATGGGTGCAGTCATGGGTCAGTACAGCCAGTGGGAATGGGATCGGCATCACCACCAGTGAATACCGTCAGCAACATTAATGGGTGCAGTCATGGGTCAGTACTGCCAGTGGGAATGAGTACATCATCACCACTAGTGGGCATTGTCATCATCAGTCGACACGACCGGCACGTGACGTCACCGGTACGGCACGCGTGCCTGAGGCCAAATTTATATGTCTTGGTTGGATTTTGTCCGGTGTGGGTCGGCAGAAGTAACTTATTTCCCCTGTTGCGGTAAAAAAGGGGAATACGAAACCCATCTCGCTGTCAGTGCCCGTGGGTGATGGGCGCATCTGTGACCGCACGTGCATTTTGCATTTCGTACGTGCAATTGGAAAGCGAGACACTTAGGGTAATGCAAGTCAGTGAAACGTGCGGACATGTTCATATTACTGACGGCAGTTTGCCTTTGCAGACATATTCTCCTCCCACGGCTACAAGTTTCACGGGAAGCCGGGGCCCTACGACTCCGGCATTATTTCGCTGCACCCGCACGGCCGCCGACGGTTCCAGAAAAAGCGACACCTTTGGAAGAACATCTGCATGGCCTAGACGAGACCCCTCGGCTGGTGCTCGCCTCCACGTGCGGAGCCGCAGTCTCCATGGCGGGAGTTGCATCTGAACTGATCGTGAGCGCGAGGGTGCCAAACAACGGCTGGGTGGCTCCAGTGAAGTGCTGTCGCGAGGTAACTCCCCGAGCCGCTCCAAAAGAAGATAGGTGGCAGCACTCGTGGCTGCGCGAACTGGGTTTCCGTGCCACTCGTCGCGCGTAGCGCGTTGCGCGAATCGAACGACGCCCGCGGACGGTAGCTGCAGGAGCCATGTGATAATAGGTGTGTGTGTGTGTGTCCCAGTGTTTGTGCCATGTATCCGCCGGTGTTGTGCGTCGCTAACACAGTGCAAATGCGTCAGGAGCGATCGACGAGCGGGTACCCGCTTCGCGCTGTTGCTGCAGCCTTTTCGAGTGCCGCGGCGATCCGCAAGGAACGCACGTCTTGGAACTTGTATATTGCGGGACATAGAGCACTGGAAATCCGCGATGGATGGTTCTGGCTCGTGCCAGACAAACCTGACGAGCCGCCACCGTGCTGACGAGAAGAGCCGACCGCCCTTCGGCTGACCGACCGGCGGCCAGCCATGCACTTTTGCTACCGTGATGTGCAGGTATTCCAGTATTATGCTCAATAAAATACGTTAAAAGCTACGAGTTTTCTCTACCGTGGGCCAAACCCGACAAGTCATCTGTTCATTCCTATTGTTTACCGCTAAGTTGTTACGTGTTTAATGTTCTGTTATTGGTGAAGTCAGCGCAACAATGCAATCCTAGGACACGCTGTCGTGCAAGGCATGCTCTTCGTTCGGTGGTTTGCCCGTCACTCTCAGCGATTAAATGCTTGGCTCTGGTCAGTAAGCCCGTAGCAGTCAATACTTCCGGCGACAGCAGTCACGGCCCGCGCCATTATCTGCGGATGAGTTATTGCCACGGAGTCGAGGAGTGCCAGACAAGGGTCTGACTCGATGATTGGTCGCTGGAGTTCTCCGGTCCCGGGCCCTGTTGTGTCCGACACGCCGCGTGGTCCCGCTGCAGCTGGTGGTCAAGAGCATGCGATGAAGTCTGATGCGCTGCCAGTTGGTAGTGGGTGGCAGTGATCTTTCTTCGGCCAAGCAGCCCAGATTAGAGTGTTAAGGCAGAAGCGGACTAGAGGTCCTCGGTGGCGGAACCAGGAATTCGTCCAGGGGAAGTGGCAAATGGGATCAGGTGACTCTTGGCCAATGAGACCGATGTGACTGAAATTGCATTATGATGGAAAAACAGCCGGCGTAGACGATGGGTTTATCTAATATCTCAACATAGAGAAATACTGTAATCCATGGCCTGTTTCAGAGGGCTTGATATCGTCCACGGAGCTTACGAAATAAGAACAACTACTATGCGACAACAATTTACCTTACGAAGCCAACCTGTTTCTAATCTTTTTCAGGTTCGTAAGGTTAGCAGGAGTTTCACACTCCCATTTGGCAAATATCAACAACCTGTTCGAGTTCGCTCAACCTTGGCAGAAAGTTGGGCTCCGTAAATAGCCAGCTGAACATGTTTTGCTGCGCATTTAGAAGTTTGGCCTCCAGAGGTCATCAAAGGCTTGAACAGAATTAGGCGAGAAAATACATTGCCACATGCTCGTGTATATATATATATATATATATATATATATATATATATATATATATATACTAATGAATATGCATATATTTGATTGCATGAATAAGTGTACGTGCCATGAAATTATGAATCCTTTCATTGTATGCATGCAATACGCCAAGCCAAATTGTACCATTTGAAATAATTTTTGAACCTGTCGCGCAAACACGAAATAGATGAGATGTGAGCAATGCATTCTGCTCACGTTCCCAGCAAGAAGCGCCATGAGATGGTGATCTGTGTATTTATCCAGAGCGAACCAAATTGTTGACAGAGCTTCTCAGTGGTGCTGGGCGCCGGCCATGGCGCCGTCGGGCAGAAAACTATGTGAATGGTTTCTAACAAGGGAAACGAAACATGGAGCAATTATTGGGTGAAAATGTCCCACAAGCCGTGACGTTGCCGCTGGTCCGGATGCCTTGAAATGGAGGCCAAACAACGTGAAGCTGGGAAGCTATGTCGAAGTGGAGGACGTCATCGTGGGGCAGCGACTCCTCAGGGCCTGCCTTCTCGTCCTGTCCTCCGCTAACGGCGGCCCCACCGCCTGCGGCTGAAGCGTCTGCGGGATCCGAAGCGTCTGTTGTTTCTAGGGGCCGAGGGTTGCCAGGACAGCGCCAGCTGGTTAGCGTCATCGTTGGCGCACGAGTACGGCGCCAGTTCGCCCCAGCAGTCGATGAACTCGGCGACCGTCTCGGCGCCGCGCTCCACACAGGCGTCCAGCAGGGCGAGTCGCATGTCCTTGTCGGATTGCGCGTCGCCGCTGTCCTCGATCGCGAGGCGGACGGCAGTGGTGTTGACGTCGTCGCCGCTGGCCAGACCGCTCGCCTGCAGCGTGCAGTTGATGACGTCGCTGAAGGCGTCGTCTGCGAGGGTGCACGTCTCCCCCGAGGAGCCCAGCAGGCGCTGGCCGAGCGCATTGAGGCCAGCCAGCGTGATCGACGAGAGAGACCCCATTTTGCAGGTCCACCAGGTGGTCCTGGAGACGAGTGAGCGCGCGCTGGCGCTGCAGTGGCTGATCAGCGAGCTGACCCGCAGGCAGGCCGTGCCGCTGGAGGCGGCGGTGCAGTCGAGCAGCGCCCGCTTCTTCAGGCAGGCGAGGATGTAGACGCCCTGCTGCGGCGCGCTTAGGCTGGCGTCCATCGCGCTCACGCAGGCATTCACGTTCGCCTTCTGCTGGTCCGTCCACGTGGTGTTGGACGAGAGCGAGTCGATCAGTGTCTCCAGCGCCGGCACGTTCAGGCCGGTGCTGTTAGTGATTTCGAGCCTGGCGACAATGAGATATAAATAAGCTTTATTTGTTCGTCATATACCACGCAAAGCTGGTGTCAGTTTTATACTTACGTGGCAGTAAACGGTCAGTTCGCAGGTGACCTCAGCGGTTTGCAACCGCTGGCAGGGGCCTAGCATAGACAATGTTTACCAAATCAAGCATTTGAACCTGTGGGTTTGGACGTCAGAAGGATGCTTTTGTGCACTGTGAGGCGAGTGGAAAGACCACTCAGTGCGCGTGTTACACGGTAGTCCCAAATAGGCTCAGTCACAAGTTTACACCGACCAATCAGGCATCACAGAACAGCAGCTTGGATCGGGCCGACCAATCGGGCATAACAGAAAAGCAGCCTTAATCAGGCTGACCAACCAGGCATAACAGAACAGCAGCCCGGATCAGGTCGACCAATCACGCATAACAGAACAGCAGTCCGGATCAGGCCGACCAATCAGACATAACAGAACAACAGCCTGGATCAGACAGGCTGACGATACCTCCCGCGCCACCCGGCCTGCCCTGCGCCCGCTCCGAACTCCACCTCGTCTTACCGTTCTGCCAGACACTGCAGGAGCGTGCCAGCCCCACTTCTGCGATGGCGCCTGAAAAACCCGAATGGTGACCGCCTGTATCTGCCGCGGCGCCTGCGGAACCCGAACCCGCTGAACGACGACCGCTGGGGGCGGCAGGCAGCCAGCGCCGCCGTCACCTCCGCTGGCTCGGTGAAGTTGTCCGGCAGGCAGCCGCGCTCCGCCAGCAAGGTGAACGGGCTCACGCTGTCACGGCGATATCCGAACGCTGCGGGGCAGGGCTGGGTGTTGGGATCGCCCCGTTCCAGCAGCTCTGGTTATACCACGGAGCAAGTGGTCAGTAGCGAGCAGTCTTTAGTCATGCATCAGATCGCTTTTTTGGGGTCTGTTCGTCGACTCACAAAAATCGCTTTGAATCGGGTCGTTGCCGTCAGTTAAACGATTTTGTCTGTCAGTTCCGTCCACACCTTTTAATCACACACAGATCGCAACTGAGACCAAGTTTTGTTCCCCAACCACCACTCATATCCTACATACAACTTTTCGTTTTGAAAGGTGTACTGACTGCATTGCATGCATTAATGCAGTAGATTATTGCATGTGGCACACGTCGATTGTGGATTACTGGCGTGTGCTGGCGCTTCTTTGCAATGCAACTCAGAACTGACCATGAACCCTAGAGGCTTGCCCGGATCTGTGCAACGCCTAGCTGGGCTTGACAGGAGCACAGGCGCCCAGCACTTGGGCATCAGAGAATAGTTGACCTACCGTCAGCCGACACCAGCAGGACCGTCACGACCAGGAGCGACAGGGCCAGTCCTCCTGTTGCCGCCATGATGCTACAATGAGCCGCTCATCGCACCCGGCGCCAGTTTTATCCGCGAACACTCGCTCGTCGCATACTGGCGCCACGTCACCGCCGGCTGCAATGACCGCCATGCTGCCGCCTGCGTGCCGTTGTCATAACCGCCGCATCCCGGGTGTGGGCGCTAATAAACAGGCGCCGGCAGCGGCGTCAGCCTCGGTCATGCGATGACTGGCCGATCCAGAGCTGACGGCTGTGCGGGCTTCCACTCGCGCGCCGGGTGATGGGAGGGGGAGGGGAAATGGCGCAGGCTGCCTCGTCGTTTGGCTGATGAATGAGCGGCAGCCACGACTAGCGAATCCGGGCGGACGTTAAAATGATCAGCTGAACGTGGACTGATCGACCGGTCACTCCCTCCCCACCACGCCCCCACCTCCAGTAGCGATTGCATCTACTAGTATGTGACTTACGCAGTTAAGCAAGTCTACATATATGCACCTCTCCTCAGCGGCGTAACTGAGGATCTTGCCCGGTGAGCAGGTCAAATCAAGGCATAGAGGCGCTTTAGCCACAAGGCTCATTTTGTGACTAAGGGGGCTCTGTGTTTTATTCGTGGGAGATTTTTAGCTTTGGGATTGCATTTTGGTGTCACTAGAGCTAGTTTTGGTGTTTTAGAAGCCTAGGGCGTCTTTAACTGCCAAAAGGCATTGAGGTCTTCGGTCCCAAGGCACTCACCGCCTTTAGGGGAGGAGGGGAGGGGACATGACGCAGAAACCCCCACCCCAACCCAACACAGATCCAACAAAGCACGTAGTTCGTGAACCTTGTACTGCTTCCTCGTGGCATTTCTGGGATCGATTTACAATTTCGAGCCTCTCAGCTTGAGGCTGGTATGCCGAAGACAACTGACAACCTCTCACAGCCGAGATCGGCCCGCACTTCAAGCTGACGTTTCACGCAGGTCGCACGTTGCACGCTGTCGCACCGACACCGACCGTCACGGCAGGATGCAAACCCGCCCGCCCGGGCGCGGCAAAGGGGCAGGGGCGCTTCCGGCGCTTCCGGCGCTTCCGGCCCCGCCGGCCGGACGGCGATACGATGACTGGTTCTACGTCTGATCCGTCGAATCCGCCGACCGGCAGCGCGCCCGTTCCGCCCGGCGGCCCACACCGGCAGCAACCGCTGGGTCGGTCGCCGCCGCCGGCCGCGCCTTCCTCGGCTGCGCTGGGCGGCGACGGCGGCCGTCGGGCCGGTCAGCGGAGCGGCAGACGGTGCACCGAATGTGTCACGGCCAGACCCCGCGAGCCGGGCGCGGGGTGGGACGGGAGGGGGGATAACGGACATGGGAGTTATCGGCGCTCATCGTGAAGATGGCGCCAACTTGGAAGTAAATGGAGCCAGACGCCCTTGATGACCAGCACGAACGCGTTTGATCCCGTTCTTGGAAAACTTCCTTTCGTGACAGATTTGCAGATAAAGCATCACCGATATAGACTTGGTGAGCTAATTAGGATACGGGTCTGGCCAGGTGCCCGCATTTCCAGTTCACGAAATGATTCACTGTGTAATGACTCACCTTTTTTCTGATTTTATCACGCTAAACGCAATATGTTATATGTGGTGGTCGCCATGAACTGGAGTACACGCCGATTGTGTCCATGACCCAGTCTTTCGCGTTTTAGGCAACAGATTCTTGTATATGAAACCATTTTCTGAAAACGCAACGTTGTCAGTTTCCCGGTCGCTGACTGGCGCACCTCTGGGTCGCACACATCTGAAGCGGACTAGTGATCTGAGGATGGCAGGCCGAGCTGCCATGTAGAGCATGTTCCACATCCTCATCTGGCCCGGTTCACGACGCCTGACTTCAGCCATTCAAAACGTCCCAAAACGGACGAGTCCGAGGGTTGAGTTGGCCCGTGACCATCTGCTCTCAGGAACACACACACACACACACACACACACACACACACACACACACACACACACACACACACACAACACACAACACACACGCACACACACACCACACACACACACACACACACACACACACACACACACACACACACACAGCACGCACACAACGCACCACACACACACACACACACACACACAGCACACACCACACACACACACACACACACACACACACACACACACACACACCACACACACACACACACACACACACACACACACACACACACACACCACACACACACACACACACACACACCTGCCGACATAACCGGCCGTCCTCTTCTCCCCCACCATACTCAGGCCTCGCGGCGCTGGGCGATTGGTCGATACCGGGGCCAGGTGTCGACCCGCGTTGTTCATTTAGTTTTTTCAGAACAAAATTTACGTGTGTCACGTTACCGTGAATGACTCATGGTTTCTGACCATAAAAAACGCTGTGTGCTCTCACGGATGGTGGTCGCACTTACTGCATAAGGGAGCCTAGATCAGGTCCCTATTGCTATGATGCGGGAAAATCATCCCTGATCACACGACTGCATGGAAATGATTAACAAGTTATACGACACAATTATGTAACAACTGCGACCCTTGTCGCAAAACTGAATGAAACTACCGCGAGCAGTTGCTACGATATCAGCTTCCTGGACGGCGACATGCTCTGCACAACTGAGAGAAAGCCAGGACATTCCTTCTCTTCTGGCACCCCTCCCAACTGCCGACTTACCAGTAGAACACAGTTTGCTCCATCGGGCACATCCGCCATGTTGAAAACCGTGTAACATGTATTTCAAGTATTAAGATCCCGCCAGCGGGATTGCTCTCACTTTGATCCTTTGGCTAACAGCATTGCGGGATGCGTCCGAGTCGCTGCTACCGGGGAGTATACGCCTTGGTTAGTTTGTAATATGCGGACGATCTAAGACCACAATCAGGGGCGCAGCCAGAGCTTTGGGAAGGGGGCACAGGGTTGAAAAGGGACCCCAGATAGTGAAAGCCCACTACCCTCCCAAAAAAACGCAGGATATGACTAATTTGTCATTGGGACGTATTTTCCTATATATGCATGTCTATATATATGCCGATATGTATATATATATATATATATATATATATATATATATATATATATATATATATATATTTATATATGCATGCCGGTGTATAGATATAGATATAGATAGATAGATAGATAGATTGATAGATAGATAGATAGATAGATAGATAGATAGATACATATATATATATATATATATATATAAATTAAAATTTTCCGTAAGTGGAATATAGACCAGACGCCGCCACGAGATCAATACTGCAATAAGTTTGTAGTAAATAAACTGACAACAGACGCGTTAAATAACTGCATGAACTAAGCGGCTGCCGCTCTTCATTTTACAAAGGTCGAATGGAATCTTTTTATCCAGATAGAGCTCAGAAGCTGTGTCTTGATTTTTATCTTGGTTAAACAGAACAAGCAAGGATTCCACGAATGTGGATTGAAGGCCAAAATGGGTCACCAATTTGTACTACCATGGTCATTCCACGTTTGTCTGGATACCTTCAACATTCAGTTAGAATTGATAAGTGGTACAAATTATGCAACGTAGTTTTAAGAGTGCGTGCTCGCATACATGGGCGTAGGAACAGGGGGGCCAGGGGCCCATGGCCCCCACTTTTCAAGGTGGGGGAAGCAGTGTTAACTGCCCCCCTCCCCACTTTTCAGATTAAGGCTGTGTTTAGCTTACTTTTGCACCACATTTAGATATACATGCCGGTTTACCTAGTTCACCAGCCACCTTCCTTAAGATGCGTCATCTTCTTCATTTGCTTATTGGCCATCACTTACTGTACCAGCCGCAGGCCGACGCCACGCGGCCTAGGGAGACTGCAACGCCGGGCGTTCAGGCGTTCAAGTTCCCATCACTTGCGCGCGGCTGTGTTAAAAACCATAGTTCATGGTTTTTTTTATCTGTAATCAATTCTGACTGGATCTTTAACTTTTTAGGACGAGCATGGATTAGCCATGTTAATACAAGCTTAGGACCCCATTTCATCTGCAATCTTCGTTCAGGGATTCCTCAATATCTATGAAGAAAACAGAAAACACCGAACTGGAGCCTGTGTGACAATTATTGGACCACCTTTGGCGATCAGGGATTTCGTTCCGTCAATGATGGTCCCTGTGCTGATCCGGAGCCCACTGCGCGGGTCACAAGACCTCCCGCAGGGGGGGGGGACAATTTCATATGATGTATCCTTCCAATGGTTTCCGGATCGATCAGGAGATCCCGCCCCGTGTCGCTAGAATGACAGCCAAAAGATGCTTCATGATGGGATGGAGTGACCCATCAGCTCTTGACTAGAACCGGTAAGATGCCCTCGGCGTTTTACTCAAAGGGCCCCTTGCCCGGAAGGAAATACAGGGCCTCATTATGGTTGAGTAGAGTGGAGGTCTCATTATTGTTGAATAGAGTAGGTTGAAAGCTTTTTTTAACCAACAAGGCCATCCCGCCATTTCCTAAGAACGTTCATTTTTCAGAATGGGTTAGTGAAAAAAGTGCATCAAAAGGTGCCCGTCCGCAACCTCGAGAGCAAGGACAGCGATAGTCTAGGTTGCAGCTTCCGTAAAACCGAACGGCGTTGGCCACTGCAAATGCCACCAGACGGCGGGCGCCGTGCTCATCTGTTTTCTGGACAGATTAATGGTTACAGAAACACAAAAAATAGAGAATTTACCTTTACTCTTTCAGTGAGTAAAGAGTCTACCTTTACTCTTCCACCGCCAGATTCCAGTACCACTTCGCGGTGCTTAAAGGGCCGATCCGTTCTTTTCATCAGTCTCAAAATCGCGCGCGTGAAATATGCGCCCAGACTGCCTTGCAGATGCAAGATTTGATGTCCTGAAGCGTTCAGTGGTACTTCGTTCAGAAGTGTTATCGTTTTCGTCCACCGGTTGGCCACGGCTCAATATTAGCTGTTGAACCGACGTTGCGCGGCCTAAGGAGACTGCAACGCCTGGCGCCGAGGCTTGTAAACTAAGATTTGCG